AAAAATTGATTAAGAAACTGATCAATAATTTATCGGCTATAGCCGGCTACTAGTCGATAGTCGATGATAGCTGACCGTAGCTGACCGAACCCATCCCTAGTTGGGTAGTTCTAATATGTGAATCACAGATTTTTAACGCCCAATCAAATTCAAGATTTTGTGAACCCACAATTCCCGTGTGATAAATTCCTGGTACGTACGTACATATTTCGGTTATTAGCTAAATAAATGTGCAACGCAATATCAATACTGTACACATATCAGCTATGAAACTTATTTACTCCTGACGTGACGAATTACTCGTCAAACAAGCAATAAATTTCGTATACTAAGTGGCTTGCTAAAATTTGTAAATAAATATTCAAGGTAAAAGTTATTCAGAAAACAAGTCTCGTAAGTATTACACTGATAATAAGATTTTATGCTCGCGTACATACATGTTATTCGGCAAACTCATATGGTTTATTATTTTTTTCATGTAATTATGTTTATTCCAATATTCAAAATAAAACTCAGCGAGCGACTCCCTACCAATCATAATCATAAATTGCCGGATAATGTATACTTTTTGCGCAGAATTTTTTAAGATGGCTTAGCTCTCAAACTAATAAATTGATAGTAACAAACAGAAAACAAACCTTATACAAGTTTTCTGAAATAACTCCCGTCAATCGTAAATTATGATTATGATTTACTATTTATTTCTTTGCACCTCTCAACTTATAAATATTGTGTAAATCTAATTCTAAGAATGGTACTAAAATGTATAAAATTTAATTATTTTTGTTGCTTAATAATGAAGTAAATAAGGTGGTACAATCGAATCAGTTTGGCAATTTTATAATGACATTATGTTTTCTACAATGATTTTAAATAGCTATAAGGAAATAGGTTAATTTTGTAACTAACAATTGTCGATAAAAAAATTTTCTTTTTTTTTGCCTGGTGAAATATCTTTATTAACATGCGTATAATATTGAGTATTATATGTGCATAATAATTTCAGATCATAAATTTAAACCTTCCTTTTTTACAAAACAGGCATGAATAAGGTTTTTACATTTTTTGAACATTATTTTTCATGTTTACCTACAATTTTTTCAAATGGCTCGATTAAAAATTCCGAAGCTCAAACAGTTGCTGTGGAACCAAATTATAAGCCAATAAATATACGATTAGAGTTAATTCAAACAAATAACGGTTTTGAAATAAAACGTAATGATTTGACCGATTCTGTGGATTCACGTTTAAAAAAAGAAAAGCCAATAAATATAAGGTTGGAAGTGGATCCCACAAATAACTCTATCGAAATTAAGCCTAATGATTCAACCAATAATGATTCAATCAATAACTCGACAAGTTCAAATTCATCTAAAAATTCAATAAATATACAATTGGAATTGGTTCCTGTGAATAATGTGATTAACTCGAATGATTCTCGACCAACTAATAATGAATTTGTAGATATAGCGCTTCCTAAAAGTAATACAACCAAATCAAAATCTATTATAAATCCAAATTGTATCTCAAAATATCCACAATTAGCTGACAATGTACTATTTTGTATTCAATTGGAAGAAACTCCCAAAAATATTTTTACAGATCCGTCTTATAATCAAGTCAATTCAAAATCAATTGAAAATGATTCTACAAATATTCAATTGAAAGCTGTTCCCTTAAATAATGCTATTGAAACAGATTCTATTGATTTAAATATAGATTCCTTAAATTTACAATTAGCTACAACCCCCCCCTGAGGATGTTCATGTTGAAAGAAAATTAAATGTTTCTGATGTTTTAAATAAGAGCAAAAGTTATCATCCCATAAAATTACAGTCAATTCAAAATATTATACCAGAAGAAATGCATTTGAATAATGCAATGGATATAGAACATGATTCAATCGATATTCTGGATTTACAATTGATTGTAAATCCTGAAGATGTTCCTATTGAAAAAGAATTAACTGTTTCTGTTATTTTAAATGAGAGAAAAGATGTTCTACCGGAAGAGTTACATTTGAAAAATACAGTAGAAATAAAATATGATTCAGATGGTTTCACAATTTACGATAATTCAAGTGAAACAGGCCATGCTTCAACAGATGATTGGAATCAAAATAATTTTTTAAATGATTGGACTGATGATTGGAATCAAAACCATATTTCGACTGATGACTGGGCCGATGATTCGAATCGTCAAGATCATTCGGCTGATGTCTGGGACGTAGATTACTTTACTGATGACCTTAAAGTAATTCATGTGGATGATAATGTTTCAACTGACAATTGTACTGATGATGATTTGAGTCATAAAGATCATTTAGTCGATGTTTGGGATTTAGACTATTTTACCGATACTTTAAACGATGTGGAGGATTTGACTGATATTGTTATCTTTAATGAAGAAGATCCAACCGATTTTCTTAATTCAAAAGATGATGATGTAAAAGTGCCAATTATTATTCCAACTATTGATGTAGAATATGTTGAGGATGAATCGCCTCAAAAATGGACAAGCGGCAATGAAGAAATAGATAATTTCATTAAAGAAACTCAAACCGATCCCGAGTTTAAATTAAATTGGATCGATTATAATGAATTCACTAATGTAGAAGTTATTGGAAAAGGCGGGTTTGCAACTGTATATAAGGCTAAATATAAAAATGAAATGGTAGCACTTAAAATTATTAAATGTTCTAAAAATGAGCCTTCATATGTTCTAAATGAGGTAAATAATGTGTTTTACCCTTTTTTTTTTTTTTTTTTTTTATGAATTATTATAAATTTTAATAATTTATTAATTATGTAGTTAAAAGTGCATCAATTATGCCGTTGGTCTGGTGCATTTTTATATTGCTATGGAATTTCTAAAGATCCAGAATCTGAAGATTATATTTTTGTAATAGAATATTTGTCAAATCAAGATTTGCGTAAAAATTTAGGCAAATTAGTAAGGGAAAAGTGGAAAACAAAATGGCACATTTTATTTAAGATAGCTAAAGATATAGATACTATACATGGTAATGGTTTGATTCATTGTGATTTACATAGTGGTAATGTTCTACAAAATGAGGAATATGAGTCTTATATATCTGATTTAGGAATGTCCGTTTTCGCTAATCAAAAATCACCTTATGATATTGAAGAGGGAATATATGGCGTATTACCTTATGTTGCACCGGAATTACTTGAAGGAAAACCATATACTATGGCTTCTGATATCTATTCCATAGGTATAATTATGTGGGAATTAGCTGCTGGAAAGCCGGCTTATTATGATGTGCCTCTTGATAAAGTCTTGCAGAAAAAAATTATTAAAGGATTAAGGCCGCAAATATATGATGATTTTCCTCAATGTTATTCAGAACTTATGCAAACTTGTTGGGATAATGATCCAAACAAACGACCAAAAGCAAGTGAATTATTATCTACAGTTTGGGATTGGTATGTTAATATGACTGATGATTCAGAAATTCAAAAACAATTTGCTAATTCTGATAAAAAAATTAAATTAAGAACTATGGATAAATTTCAAATTTATTCTGAAGCTAAATATACTAGCAAATTTATTCGTACTGATCATATTATTATTTATGATACCCTTCCATCAAAACCAATTTGTACACTTGATATAGATTAATCTACATATATTCATTCATTGGTTTATCTTAAAAATACTGTATAAATATGTATAACATTGTACAATCCCTGAAACATTCATTAAATAAAATTTAAATTGTTCAAAGCGTAAAGGAAGACCTTTTGAGTCCATATTAATTAAAGATATATCAGATTGAAATTTGAAATTTGTGTCTTTAACGTGCATTCAAAGTTGTTTTAACAGGAACGGAGTTTCACGGAAGTGAAATGTTAGTTGTTGTAACTAGTGTTGTTAGGCGAAATCTTTTCTAAATGGTGAAACACGAAACCTAAGCCAAAATAGACGAAAGTTGAGGAACCCTGGCGAATGTTGAAACCTTTGTAAAACTCTACCTCAAAAAAAGGATCATTTCCGTGATCACCAAGCCATGCGCGTTTAAATTAAATAACAATAAAGATTTTTCTCTGGCTTAAAACAACTGGACTGAAACTTTTTGTGACATAGGCTAAGTTTTGTGAAAGCACAAACCTAGTATTCAACTAAAAAAACAAATTACATTGCTGAGCTTTAAATGGGACCCACACATCAAAAGGAGGGGAGTGGATGGGCCAAAAAATCAGATGTTTTAATTTTATAATAATTTTATTCTAATCAATTTAATTATTCAAGATATTTAATTTTTATAAAAAAATTTTTTGGGCCATCCCCTCCACTCCTTTTGCTGTGGGTTCCAAATGTGGCTTTACCAGATTTTATTAATAAATTTTTTTTTACTTATTATTCTAATTTTTGTTAATAATTGCACATAATAAAAGTTTAATAATTTTTTAAAAAGTAAGTAATTTTGATCATAACAATGTATTTCCTTTAAATTTTACTTAGTCGATACATATATAAAAGATTGTGTTAAATATAAATGATCTTGAGTAAAATTGATATATTTTAGATATATAACAGCACAAACTGAGAATATTACAATTATTACCTGTAATTAATGCTCTGGATTTAATTTATTATGAAACTCTACCCACTTGGCTATTCTCTTTAACCGGTACTTAATTTAACCCATGACAATAGTAATAGTCAATAATAATAGTTTTATTGACTAAAACAGACTGTTTTTATTGGTCAATTTAGGCTACGCTGCATATGTAAAATTGGCGTCTATATAGAAAAGTTGATGGCTCTAGGTGGCACCCATTGTAGTACTTACTTTTGTAACCTTATACAGTATAAATAAGGTAACCATCCACCCGTGCCATAAATAATTATGGTAATCATCCACCCGTGCCATAAATAATTAGTGTAGCTACGCGACACAGCCACGCTAAAACCATTGAATCTAGGTGCCGCACAAAAAATGCGCGGCAGATCATCAATTTTGATTGGTTAACGGCCGAGGCAAGATTAATTTACAGACAAGATTATTTTACAGACGGTTAATTCACAGGCAAATTCATTTTGTAGACAATATATTTGACTAAAAATTTTTTTTTATGAATTGCACCAACTTTAAATCTAAAACAAATTTATCTGTGAATTATCGACCGTAAAATACCCTTGCCTGTAATTTAACTCTCGTTGTCTGTGAAGGTTAACACTACTAAATAAAATATTAATAATACTCAATAAAATAGAATTCATGTATCGAAATAAATCGCAATAAACTCAATTTGAATCTTAAGGCAGTTACCAAATCCGATATGCTCATATATAGTATGTTACACCAGCACAGCTATCATGGATTTTTAACGCCCAATCAAATACAAGGTTTTGTGAACTCACAATTCTACGTGTGACTAAGTTCCTGGTACTGTACGTACGTACGTACGTACGTACAGTACGTACTTCGGTTATTAACTAAATAAATGTGCAACGCAAAATAACAATACTGTACGCATATCAATTATAAAGCTTATTTACTCCTGACGTAGCGAATTACTTGTCAAACAAGCAACGAATTTTGTACACTAACTAACTTGTTAAAATTTTAAAATAAATATTCAAGATAAAAAACATGCTTCGTAATTATTATGCTGATAAACAAGATTTTGTGACTGCGCGTACATACATATGTTATTTGCGCAGAATTTAAGATACCTTGGCTCCCAAACTGATAAATTGATAGTAACTAACAGAAAACCAGTAGTAGTTCACATCTTATACAAGTTTTCGAAAATAGCTCCCGTCAATCGAAAATTATGATTATGATTTACTATTTGTTTTTTTGCACCTCTTAACTTAATAAAATTGTGTAAATCTATTTTACCGAAATGTATAAAAGTTTATTATTTCCGTTGCATAAAGTAAATAAGGTGGTACTAATCGGAATAATGTCTCTCATTTTGGCAATTTTATAATGATATTATTTTTTCTACAATAGTATTAAATAGCTGTAAGGAAATAGTTTAATTTCGTAACTAACTATTGTCGGTAAAAAAAATTTCTTTTTTTTGCCTGGTGAAAATATATTTAATATGCATATAATATTGAGTATTATATGTTATAATAATTTCACTTCATAAATTTAAACCTTCCTTTTTTACAAAACAGATATGAATAAGGTTTTTACATTTTTTGGAAATTACCTTTCATGTTTACCTACAATTTTTTCAAATGGCTCGATTAAAAATTCCGAGGTTCAAACAGTTGTTGCGGAGCCAAATTATAGGCCAATGAATATACGATTAGAGTTAATTCAAACGAATAACGGTTTCGAAATAAAACGTAATGATTTGACTGATTCTGTGGATTCACGTTCAAAAAAAGAAAAGCCAATAAATATTAGGTTGGAAGTGGATCCCACAAATAACTCTATCGAAATAAAGCCTAATGATTCAACCAATAATGATACAATCAATAACTCGACAAGTTCAAATTCATCTAAAAATTCAATAAATATACAATTGGAATTGGTTCCCGTAAATAATGTGATTAACTCAAATGATTCTCGACCAACTAATAATGAATTTGTAGATATAGCGCTTCCTAAAAGTAATACAACCGAATCAAAATTCACTATAAATCCAAATTATATCTCGACAGATCCACAATTAACTGAAGATGTATTATATAGTTTTCAATTAGAAGAAACTCTTAAAAATACTTCTACAGATCCGTCTTATAATGATTCTACAAATATACAATTGAAAGCTGTTCCTTTAAATAATTCTATTGAAACAGATTCTATTGATTTAAATATGGATACCTTAGATTTACAAGTGACCACAAACCCTGAAGATGTTTCTGTTGAAAAAGAATTAACTGTTTCCGATGTTTTAAATAAAAGAAAAAGTTACCAACCCATAAATTTACAATCAATTCAAGGTTCTCTACCTGAAGAAATGCATTTGAATAATGCAATGGATATAGAACTTGACTCACTTTATATGATGGATTTACAATTTACCACAAATCCTGAAGATGTTTCTTTAAATAATACCGTTGGAATAGAATCTGTTGACTTCAATCTGGACACCCTATGTTTACAACTAACTACAAACCCCGAAGATATTCCTGTTGAAAAAGAATTAACTATTTCTGATGTTTTAAACAAGAGAAAAAGTTATATTCCCGTAACGTCACAGTCAATTCAAGATACTATACCAGAAGAAATGCATTTGAATAATGCAATTGATATTGAACATGACTCAACCCACATTTTGGATTTACAAATAACCTCAAATCCTGAAGACGTTTCTGTAAATAATACTATCGAAAAAAAATCTGTTGATTTCAATATGGATTCCTTAGATTTCCAATTTACTACAACCCCTGAGGATGCTCCTGTTGAAAAAGATTTAACTGTTTCTGATGTTTTAAATAAGAGAAAAAGTTATCACCCTATAAGATCACAGTCAATTATACCGGAAGAAATGCATTTAAATAATGCAATGGATATTGAACATGATTCAACCGACAATTTGGATTTACAATTGTCTACAAATCCTGAAGATGTTCCTGTTGAACAAGAATTAACTGCTTCCGATATTTTAAATGAGAGAAAAGATGTTCTACCAGAAGAGTTACATTTGAAAAATTCAGTAGAGATAAGATATGATTCAGATGGTTTCACAATTTACGATAATTCAAGTGAAACAGGCCATGCTTCAACAGATGATTGGGATCCAAATAATTTTTTAAATGATTGGGCTGATGATTGGAATCAAAATCATGTTTCGACTGATGACTGGGCCGATGATTCGAATCGTCAAGATCATTCGGCTGATGTTTGGGACGTAGATTACTTTACTGATGACCTTAAAGTAATTCATGTAGATGATCATCTTTCAATTGACAATTGTACTGATGATGATGATTTGAGTCATAAAGATCATTTAGTCGATGTTTGGGATTTAGACTATTTTACCGATACTTTAAACGATGTGGAAGATTTGACTGATATTGTTATCTTTAATGAAGAAGATCCGACCGATTTTCTTAATTCAAAAGATGATGATGTAAAAGTTCCAATAATTGTTCCAACTATTGATGTAGAAATTTTTGAGGATGAATCGCCTCAAGAATGGACAAGCGGCAATGAAGAAATAGATAAATTCATTAAAGAAACCCAAATCGATCCCGAGTTTAAATTAAATTGGATCGATTATAATGAATTCACTAATGTAGGACTCATTGGAAAAGGTGGGTTTGCAACTGTATATAAGGCTGAATATAAAAATGAAACAGTAGTACTTAAGGTTGTTGAAAATTCTGCAAAAGAACCTTCAGTTGTTCTAAATGAGGTAAATGACGTTTTTTCTTATTCTCTCTTTTTTTTTATGAATTATTATGAATTTTTAATAATACATTAATTATATTATATAGTTAAAAACACATCAATCATGCCGTAGTTCTGGTGCATTTTTATATTGTTATGGAATTTCTAAAGACCCAGAATCTGAAGATTATATTCTTGTAATAGAATATTTGTCAAATCAAGATTTGCGTAAAAATTTAGGAAAATTAGTACGGGAAGAGTGGAAAACAAAATGGTACATCTTATTTAATATAGCTAAAGATATAGATGGTATACATAGTAGTGGTTTGATTCATCGTGATTTACATAGTGGTAATATTTTACAAAATGATGAAAATGAGTCTTATATATCTGATTTAGGAATGTCCGTTTTTGTTAGCCAAAAATCTAATGATGATGAAGAGGGAATACATGGTGTATTACCTTATGTTGCTCCAGAAGTTCTTGGAGGAAAACCATATACTATGCCTTCTGATGTCTATTCTTTTGGTATAATTATGTGGGAATTAGCTTCTGGCAGACCGGCTTATTGTGATGTGCCTCATGATAAAGACTTGCATATTAAAATTATTGAAGGATTAAGACCGAAAATTTATGATGATTTTCCTCAATGTTATTCAGATCTTATGCAAAGATGTTGGGATGAGGATCCAAATAAACGACCAAAAGCAAGTGAATTATTATCTACAGTTTGGGATTGGTATGTTAAAATGACTGATGGAACAGAAATTCAAAAACAATTTGCTGATTCTGATAAAAAAATTAAAAAAAGAGCTATGGATAAAATTAAATTTCATTCTGGAGCTACATATACTAGCAAATTCATTCCTACCGGGTTCATTCGTACTATTGATCATCTTAATATCTCCGATACGCTTCCATCAAAACCAATTTGTACACTTGATATAAATCCTTAATCTATATATATACATTCATACTGTATAAATATTTATAACATTGAATAAAATTTTTACTATCCCTGAAAAATCATTTAATATTATTTAATAAAATTTAATTGTTCAAAGCTTAGCAAGCGTAACGTAAGGCCTTTTGGAGTCTATGTTAAGCGATATAAAATGACATATTGATGCATTTTTGACCCAAATTCGCTATTTTTTTTTTTTAGATATATTTGTATAAAGATTATAAACATTATATTATTGATATTTGAAATGGTTTGTCTTTCACATGCATTCAAAATTGTTTTAACAAGAACGGAGTTTCACGGAAGTGAAATGAAGAGTATAGTTCCGGTTGTTAGGCGAAATTTATTTATAAAATGGTGAAAGACCTAACCGAAAATAAACGAAAGTCGAAACGCTAGCGAAACGTCGAAAATCTTTGTGAAACTCTATATCACAAAAAAAATATTGATTCTGTGATCTCCAACCATGAGAGTTTAAATTAAATAACAATAAGCTACATTTTTCTGGTTTAAAAACAACTGGACCAAGGCTCTTTGTGGCATAGGCTAAGCTTCGCGAAAAATTAAATCACTAAAGTAACACGAGCCTAGTACATGTAAGTTCTCTGGATATATCGACAATTTTTTCTCATTGTAAGAAAAATTCAAAATGTCGATACAGTAATTACCGTATTTCCCCAACATGTAGACCCACCTGTGCAATGTACCCTGTAACGATTTTGACAGCCAATTTTTGACTTATACCCGGGTACCTAAGTATGATGCTATCATGCTTCTGTACCCGGGAAAACATAATAAAACATATTCATATCCATACAATATCCCCCACATGTGTACCCGGGGTACTAAAACGGGTTGGGGAAATACCCGGGTACATATGTTGGGGAAATACGGTATACGATATTTTATGTATGAAATTTTTGAAAAATTTCGAGAAAAAAAAATGTCGATATAAGATTTTACTACGATGTCGCTATATCCAGATGTCAGTATAATCAGATTGTGCTAACGATGCTTGATGAAATTATTTGAAAGTTTCGTCAAACTACATGCCTGACGAAACCTCTAACGATTAATGAACTTGTGGCGATTACGAAACTCCTGACGATTGTCGAAACCCTTGATGAATCTATTCGACCAATGAAAAATTAAAATAGAGTTAATTACCTTTCATCGAATTTCTTAAAATAACTCCGGATATGCAAATCTTTAATTTTCTTACAAATTATCGTATCGCAGGTTAATATGGACTATAGAATTTTTAATTGATGGTAAACTTTTTTATTCAAAACCATCAATCAGTGCATTACACCTTGCGGGTAAATGTTCTTGGACAAGGCCCTTTTTAATTTCTGATATATTTTGATTAACATCTTAATGTTATATCAGTATGTACATAGATATAAATAATAAATACTGGTAATAAAATTAAATATTAGCGGAAATAATACAAAAGTTCTGCCTAGAGGCTTTCCACCAACTACAAGAGTTAATAACATGCGCATGATATAATTTTTTTTGATTTTATATTTTTCCTCCGGAAAATATCGGATATTTGCCAAAGTCTTTTCCCCGACCCTTCTCATCTCTATGTTCATTCATTTTCTTTTCGGAATTTTTCAAAACTTCTGCATTCCTATTTCTTAATTTTGCCTGGCATTATACACCTTGGCCTAAATTAAATATACTTTAATTTTCCTATATAAAATTTAGATGGGATAAAATGCGCATGATTCCGAATCATGCGCATGAATGCGCATTAATGCGCACGATTGAGGAATCATGCGAACCATCTCTAGTTGAGATCCTCATGTTGACAATCTGTAAAATTAGAATGTATATAAGAGAGTGCTTTATCCTTAGCTGAGGATAACATTGGCTCTCCCAAATTCTTCAATAAATAAAGGTCGTATATATTCCCACTCTTTTTATAATAAATGCCTAATAAATCATGAATACCCGAATACCATAATTCATCACCCAATTCAGTGACCCTTTTAACGTCAACCATCGGAGTTAAACTCGGCATGATAATACCAAGCTCTCCCGTACGATGGTTACAATAAGTTACAAAAGAATTAGGCATCAAAAAACTTATCGATTCGTTCATTGGCAATTTTTTCTATTGTCCTAGAATTTTGAAATCGGTTGTAATGACGGTATTATATTAAAAATAAAGTTGATCAGCTATAAAAAGCGGCCAAACGAAGCGAGGCAGAGAAAACAAAATTTCCAAAACCATAATTAAAAATAAGTTTGCATTTTAGGTTCTTTTTTCATTAAAAATGAATAAACTTTATAATAAATTTTAAAGCTTCCGTATTATATTTTTGAGTTTCGGATAGTTTCGGATTATAGTTTTGAGTTTCGGATTATAGTTTCAAGGTTAAACTATTTTCGCTCAACGTCAACTCTTTCGTAGCCCTTATTCCGTGACTATACGTCAGCTAATCGACTAAATTTTATTAGTGACTATAAACTAAAAATAGAAATAATAAACATATAGACTAGTGTTGTGTATCATGCGTATGGAGTTTTCAGAATATTTCGGAACCTCATAATTCGGTAAGCTGCCATAATGCAGGCCAGAATTTCATAATGTGGGCCAAAATTCCATGTTTATGAAATTTTAAAAAACTTTAATTTTCCCAATACTAATATTGATTGGTCCTAATAAACTGTAGTTTACTATATTTACTTTATATATCATATGACTAGTCGACTAGTCATAAAATTGGTCGATTCGGATCACTATGTATAACCCCTTAGTACACCCACAAAAATTGTTCCTTCCCGTGATTTTGACTAATTAAATTTCAAGAACAGGTATAATATAAACAATTTTTTACAAAAAATAATAACAGAAATAACGTGAAATTTTAATTAAGAAACCACCTTCTGCGGCCTAATTAAAAATACTCACCATAAATTTTACTATAGAAACTCTATTTTCCTAACCCTAACCCTAACCAAAATTACAACGCTGTTTTATTCCTAGTAAAAATTACAGGGGTGGATTTTTGTGGGTGAGTTACCTAAGATGGAAAGTAACATACCAGGATTTCCATATGACCATTTACAGGGGATGGTTAAAGCCCAGTGCATTCATATGTTTTTGATTTTTAATTAAAATTATGGTAAAGGTTGTTTTGTCTCATCCGGGTAAATCAAAAATTTATGACTTGATTGGCTGTTAGTCATGTGAATGTTGTGAATTGTGGTAAACTTGGGATATAATATGGAAGGATAGATCGTCGCCAAGGTGATTCTGGACGAATCTTCTGCCAGATATGAGATATAACATATATGACAGATATGTCATATATGGCATATATATTAGCGAATCATATAGTAGCTAAAGAATGTATATAAGAATGACAAAATCCCCTTTGAATAAAAACAACTCAGTAGAGTTCGACTCAATTAGAGTCTATATTTCTGACTTTAAATTACTTCCGACAAGTGAATTTTTGTAATCCGTGACCCCGAATTAGAGCTTCATGACGTAACCTAGAGCTCTATTTGACCCTAATAACTCGGACCAAGTCTTCCGCGCCTCTTTCGTAGCCTGACAATATTAGGGTTCGATAAAGTTTAGTAGTTTAGTGTGTTGTTTGGATTAGTTTTGTGCCGATTGATATTGTGTGACCAATATTTCGTGAGGTTACCGTACGTACCTGGTTCCCATTTACGTTACCTCAGGAACACGGAATTTTTTGGTCAAATTAAAATTTTTTGAAATCTTTGCAAAATTACTATTCCTGATGGATCATCAGTACTGATAGGGTGAAATAAAATAATCGATTTACATACTGTGCGCCCCTCAATAAAAAATAAAACTTTGAATCAGGATATCTTGGCAACCACCTGATCAAATTTGATGACACTTTTTTATTTGTATTCACAGAATTCAAATAAAATTTTTTCATCGAATTTGATTAGGTGGTTGTCTAGATATCTTCATTCAAATTTTGAAAAAATCAAAACGCCTATCAAAATAGTAGCTGCGCCAAATTTTTTCTAAAACTTTGAGCGAAAGATATCTCGACAACCACCCTGACCAAATTTGATGTAAGTTTTTTTTTATTTGAATCCGTGGATTCACAAAATTCAACTAATTTTTTTTTTCTTCAAATTTAATTAATGGTTGTCGAAATATCTTCGCTCAAAATTTTAAAAAAATCAAAACGTCTATTAAAATGTCAATTTTTTTTTCTATAACTTTGAGCGAAGATATTACAACAATCCCTAATCAAATTCGATAAAAATTTTTTTATTTAAATTCTAGAATCCATAGAATTTAAATAAAAGAAAATTTCATCGAATTTGTCAGGTGGTTGTCGAGATATTTTCTCTCAAATTTTAGAAAAATTTGCGCAACTTCTATTTTGATAGACGGTTTAATTTTTTTAAAACTTTGAGCAATGATATCTCGACAACCACCTAATTAAATTCTTTGAATATATATATATATTTGAATTCTGTAAATCAATAAAATTCAAATAAAAAAATTTTCATTGAATTTGATCAGGTGGTTGCCAAGATATCCCGATTTAAATTTTGATTTTTACTGAGGATGCACAGTATGTAAATAGATTTTTTTTTTTGCCCTATCAAGACCAGTACCAGCGATCCATCAGTAATTTTGCGAAATTTTTTGGTCAAATTAAAATTTTTTGAAACCTTGACCATCAAAAGTCACATAAAAGTGATATGGTTGGCCGGCTATTATCTCCACGTGATGATTAACCAGTAGAAAATCACGCTACGATATACATTACACGATCATAAAAAAGAATTTTGGTATTACCGTTACGAATTTTTAAAAATAAATAATATTTGAACTAATCTGCCTAATCAAAAAACAAGGCGCTAACCAGAGCAAGCTAACTTTTTGAAACATGAAGAAAATTTAGATTATCTTCGAATACTTAATATTTTATACGATAATTATCATTCGGAATTTTTATTTTAACTATATAGAATTAAATA